AACTATATCTAGCATCAAGGGTATAAAGGGAACACCATGAAGTCAATTCATACATTTATATGTTACTGCCATGTCTGCAATAGCATCCCTGGTATCCGTTTCAAGACTAATGGGGTTGTCTTTCACATATAATGTGGAATAGTGGTTTATGCCTAAGAAGTCAAATGAACCCTTGATTCTCTCCAATTGAAGTTGGGTAAAAGTTGGAATTCGGTTTCCTGCATTCTTCTTCACTATTTCTGGGTAGTCCCCATTCACCAAGGGATTCAAAAACCTGAAGTGGGAACCATGAAACAAAGATCAAAGTAAAGTACAATTCAATGTATTTAACAAACACCTACAACGATTTCTAATAATAGCTTTTGGTAAATGTATGGAGGTGGAAATTTTGACCAATTTAATTACAAATCGGCCAAATTTGAAAACTAATCAGACATGAAATGATTCGAAAGTCATCTAAAGTATGTGCAAATGATTGCAACTCTAATTCAATCAATTTAGATTATTATTTTATGAGTATATTTAGTTTTTGTAATCATATTAGTTACTTGAAAAACTAGAAAAAATCAAAAGGTATTTATTGATCGGTTAACCAGCTTGGCCATATTAAAACTCACTTTGTCACTTTGACCCATTTTGCTACATATAGATTTTGATAACCTTTATGTAACATTTCTCTTCACTCACCAACCCAAATAGAAGTCATTGGCTCTTTGGGCAGCTTTGACATCTTCGGTTGTGTTTGTATAAGGTTCAAACCAAAATCCCAACACGTTTATTCCAATAAAACCTTGTTGCATGGCCTGCATGGTATATATATAGTAGTGAATGTTTCTTTCATTCTTACTTTTTCTGAAAAACAAGATACTATATAAATAGAGAAAGGTGATCTTAATTAGGATCATATCTTTACCTTGTATTTTCGGTGATAGAGTCTTACTGTTGATGCATGTGCCAATAACAAATGGTAAGCTACAAGATATGGCTCAGAAGTAGAGTCACCTTTGCTACAGTTAGTTCCAAATGGGGAAGAACAACGTCCAGGAGGTGAGTAACCATAATCATAACCGAATAAAGCAAATATATTGGCTTCATTAAAAGTAGTCCAATGCAAAACCCTATCACCAAATTCTCTGAAGCAAACATCAGCATATGTAACAAAGTCTTTCCTACAATATTTACATACACATATAATTCTTGCATTTATATGTATATTATATATACTTTCTTATAAGACAAGAACATGAAAACTAGTTCCATTATCGAAATGTACACTGATTTTCTACTAATCCATCCTCCATATTCATCTTCAAGTATCTGTGGCAGATCGAAATGATGTAATGTAACATGTGGCTCTATTCCTGTATATATATAATTAGAACTAGTAATTCTAGTCTTTTTTTGTTTAGTTACACAATTGAACTTGTATTTCTTGATGGAAAGGTATTGGCATTTTTATATCTAACCATGGGCGATAAGCCTGTTGATGAAATCATTGTAAAATTGTAAGCCCTTCACATTAATGGATCCTCTTCCATCTGCAAAAAGAAAACGTACAAGAATGATCATATTTCATAAGCAAGACAAGTGGAGTTACTGAAATTTTTATCAATGGACTATTTAATTAATTAACAAATTAACATATATATACTTGGGATGAGTCTCGACCAAGAGATGGAAAATCTATATGCTTCCAAACCTGTATCTGCCATAAGTTCAATGTCTTCCTGCAACACTAAAATGTTATCAGTTGTATTATGCTCTAGTTATATGTTCTACTATTTTTTATTGTAATGCAAAAGTTGAAGCCAATATCTACTTAAACATGTTGTTTTAAAGTGTTCTGAATTAATTTCTTATTATATGCTATAAAAAAGATGAGTGATCTAGATGCATGCATGGTTAGTACCTTGTATTTATGGTACCCATCAATTGCAATATCTCCATTTTCTCCATTGTACCAGGGAACCCCTTCATGATATTATACAAGAATTACTTTGAAACTCAAGAGTTAGTATTTAGGTCATGATTTTATGATTTTGGAGGCCAATAATCCTAGCTAAGAACACCCTCATTGATATGGATATATACATGTCATAAACCTCTTCATTCAATGCGAATCATTTGTTTTTTTTCTTTTAGAACAAATCACAACACAAATAAAAAACAATTCGGTTTCTTGGGATAAAGTTAACTTCAAATCGATTACACACACTTGGAAATCATTCATCATCTGACGTGTATTCTTATTTGTATTACGTACCTGAATGTGCGAAGGTGTCCCAAATGCTGAGACTCCTTCCATCTTCCAGTATTGCTCCTTCAACCTTACACGCATGCAGTTAGCTCCAAATCGACTACACACACTCGAAACAGAGCAATAAAAAGAAATACCTGATAAGCGGAAGTTCCAGCACCAAAAACGAATTCACTGGGAAAATCATCTCTTCGATATTCATCGACAACTCCGTATACGAAGAAGAATCGTATATCAGCATAGTTTCCGATCACAAGAAGAAGAGAAAGAACAAGAAGGACAGAATTCGACATTGTCTTCTGCTACATCCTACAGGCTACAGGAAGTGATGAATCGACTATTTTCAAAATCATACATACGAGACATGCAAATTAACACCGATCCAGATTTGTTTTGGAGATATATATGGCTTAAAATGGAAATAGCAAAAGAATTTTTCCACAAAATCATTTTTCGTATTGTGGAATAGAACTAGAATACAACCGAGGAAAAAGAAACATCTTTAGGCCCAAGGGTGTGGGTGCGGTCCCAGACCCATCAATAACACCGCCCCTAAACTGCGGTCTTGGCCGTAGTATGGCTAGGGAATACCGTGGTTTTTGATTGGTCCTTCGGTTGTGACTACTTTTAACGTTGAAAGGTCTTTGTGGTTAATTTCTTTCTTTTTTTATTTTAAGCTTTACTCTCTCTCTCTCTCTCTCTATATATATATATATATATACACACGGGTATATATAGGGTGTACAAGTAACTGAAATCACAGATAGTTCATCTGTGATTTCCTTTCAATTCATCTACGATTTTATATATATATTTTTTATTTTGACTGCGAAATTGATAAAGTTTGACTATGAAACAACCATATTATATATAGAGTCTTGCAAAAAAATTTCAATTTTGTTGTTATTTCTTTGAAAATTTTATTTAAAACATTTATAATAGAATGAATGAATATTTGGTATGTGTATCGTCGGGATTGTTCATGAAATCGTTTATAGTGCTTCTAGAGAAAGTTCTCCAACAAAAAGTGTGAAAAATTAAATAAAAAAAAATGTTTTTATACATGTGAAAAGGTGAATCGCAAATGGAAGGTGAAATTGTTGATGGAGCAGTCTATCTGTGGACGTACAAATCGCTAAAGCACGAATGTCCTTTAGTGACTTGTATGTTCGCAGATGATTTTGTCAAATTGCATATAGGCTTAATCATCGATTTTATGGCTATTTTTATAATTCGGATTTTTATTAGCTATTTTTCTATAACTTAATCAACAGTTTTAGCAATATTTATAATTCTTTCTTTTTATTTTCCATATGATTACATAATTTTTTATGCGAGATGATAAAAAATAGTTGTCTATAGAGTACAAGCAATAAATGGCATAAAATTAATTCTTCATATAGCTATGCACGAGAAATAGATACAATATTGTTTTAGTGATCACGTGAGGTTTAAAATAGTAGTTGAATAGTACTGTAATGTTGTATTGTTACTTCACTTTTAATGTTAAGTTAAAATAACTTATAAAATTATATTAAAGAACTATAAATTAATATAATGACACTTGTATTTTAATTATGACATGTTAGATTATGTAAGTACTCATAGAGCAATGCCAATACTATTTCAAATGTAGTATCCTATAAGTTATAGACAGTTAATTTATATATTTTTCAAAATAAATATCTTAATTAATTATAATTGAAATTTATTTAGTAAAATATCAATATAGATATAGTAATTTAAAAATTAGTTATTGTTATATTATGTTTAAGTAAGTTTTATTTGATGTCTAACATTCTAACCCACAAGCTATTCTAGAATCTCTAAAAAGTCAAACGTTGACTAAAACATATCGACAAATGATAATTTGGTTTCTATATAAAGATAGAAAGTAATACCACCTGTATGTATAAAAATTGTGAAGTTTTCGTCATAATTTATTATTTATATACTCATTAGTATAAACATGCAATTATACGTTTATTCTCGGTAAAACTGTAAATGATGGTCCTTGTGATTTGCTCAAAATTGTCATTTTGATCCAAAAAAGTTTGGACTAGCACCATAGGCCCAAAGTTTTCATTTTGTTGCGTCTTTAGTCCAAAGGGTTAACCTCCTTCTATTTCCTTCCGTTAACATATGTTTGACTTATCAAATTGGGGGTATTTTGGTCATTTCCTATTTATTCCCCTTATTTAATATTAATAAAAGAGAGTACGTATGTATTATCACCATACATATAATATCGAGCCTAATTCGCATTTATAGTCCTTAAATACTATGAGACGATTCAATTTCCCTCCTCATTGACTGAGGATCAAGAACCCTAATATGCTTACCAAGGTTGTTAGCTTCGATCAGGCGACTTTCGTAGTGAATGCATATACCAATGTGGCAGTTAAGGTTGTCAAGTACGTCATTCGACCCAATGGTGGTTTATGGTACACAATTTTATTTTTGATAATTTACTTCATTTGCTTACAAGAACTTATCCCTTCTTAAGCTTGTTTTTTGCTCTTATGTTGAATATGGACACCCTACACTGTTTACCATCAAGCTACGTCATGGAGGCGAGTTCACAAAGTTTCTAGATGTCAACTACATTGAGGGTATTATGACGTATGTTGATATGGTGGATGTATAAGAATTTTCTATTCACAAGATGGATGTGATTACGAAAGGGTTATGATACTCAATTCCTCTAGTTATCTACTATCATTTTCGAGTGCGAATAGGAGACATGCATTTTGGATTACAGACCCTAGGAAATGATGATGATGTCCTCAATCTTGCCCAGTATGTGAATGATCATAAACTGATAAGGGTTTACACTGAACATGGTATGACTAAGTTTCTTACTTACTTTATGGATCCTAAACCTGTAAGAATAGTTATTATTGAGCAATTCGAGGAGATTGAGGAACATGAACCCCCCCTCCCCCAACTGATAACCAACCCAATGGCATGCCATAAACATGCATTCCATTTGTTATAGTTAATGAAGCTACTTTAGCCTTGTCGACATCCCCTGAGTATAATAAGAAAATGGATTTTATCAAAGACAAACCGTTGTCATCATGCATTAAGAAATTAGCCATGGATAGTGTTTGTGTTGTTAAGATTGGTGAGAATAAGGATGATGCAACTAATGATATTGACCAGGGATTTAATGAATTTGATGAGGAAGTTAATGAGTTTGATCTTAGGTTGTACCAACATATTTTACAGTCTAATTTTGCAGTTAATGAACAAAATGTAGATGATAAGGTCCATGAAGGTGAGGACAATGCAGTTAATGTGTTCCATGAAGGTGAGGACAATGCAGTTAATATGGAAGTTACTAAAGAATTCAATGAAATGAATGGATTCAATGAATTCAATGAAATGAATGAAATCAATGATGAGAATGTAGATATGATAGATTTTGTAGTTGATGATGGAATTGAAGATAATATAGAGACTGATGAAGAGAATCACGAAAGAAGTGATGGGAGTGAGGATAGTGATGACAGTGAATTCTGGGTTGATGAAGACAACATAATCCCTGATGCTGAAGTAGATATGAGGGATTTTTACATGAATATCGATCTTGAAGCATAATTTCTTGAAAAAAAGAGTAACAAAGCATAGAGATAATGAGGGTTCCAAAAAAGACATTGAAGAATTGGATGTTATAGATAATGATCAATGAGATTTATTGGATGAGGGTTCTGATATAAAAAGGAAAAGGAGAGTTGTACTAAAGGAATTGGGGAAGTAGACAAGGTGCTCTCAAGGTGAGATACACAAAGTATCTTTTAGGATGGGGCAAATATATAAAAGTAAGGAGTTAAAGGAAAAGATACAATTGCATGCATTGGAAATGAAAAGGAATATATTCTTCAAGAAAAACAACAAAATGCAGTTAAGGGAATTTTGTAAAGGAATTGTAGCCTTTAATGATGGTCATATGGGTGAACTTAACCCTTTTCCTTAGGTGATACAAGGTTCTAGGTCAGATGTAGATAGTACTTGGTTCATAAAATTTACAACCATGAACATAGATGCCTCCAGACAAGAAAAGTTAGATCTGCAACCGCAATGTTTATCTCTAAAATTATAATGGGTCAGAGTGAATCCAACCCAACAATCCCAATCAAAGCTCTTCAAGAACAACTGCAAAAGGAATATCAAATTGGATTCTCTATTCACAAGGTATTTTAGGGATAAATCTACTGCAAAAAAAAAAACTTGTCTAGGGGGAATTACAAAAAAGCAATATGATGTTCTCAGAGATTACATCTTCGAGTTGCATTCTACCAATTCAGATACAACTGTGAAGTTACAATTTGATTCTGAACCCAACCCAATTCCTAACTCAAGAATGTTTAAAAGGATGTATAGGTGTCTGGGGGAATGAAAAAGGGGTTTAGAGCTTACTTGAGGGATTTTCTAGGTTTTAATGGGGCGTTTATGAAGGGCCCTTTACCAGGAAAAAATTAACTGCATTTGGGGTAGACTCCAACAATGGAATATACCCCTAGCTTATGCCATTGGTGAGACTAAGAACACTGACAATTGCAAGTGGTTTCTTGAGTGTATTGGAGATGATCTGGACCTATATGTAAACTTAAACTTCACATTTATAAGTGACAGACAAAAGATTTGTAATTAGTTGTTTTACATGACATATTTGGATGTACTATACTAACTATGTTTTATTGCCTTCATAGGGATAACAAGCTGCCATTTCTCAGTTGTTCATGTGCTGAGCACAGGTTTTGTCTCATGCATATACATGACAATATGATAAAAACATGGAGAACTAAGGAGTACAAAGAGCACTTGTGGAATTATACAACAACAGTCCCAGAGTTCAACCATAGGATGAGGGAATTCAGCTTGTATGATATAGAAACTTATAACTGGTTGAAGCAAATTCCCCCACAACACTGGGCAAGAATCCACTTTAAAGGTATATCATTGAAGTTCCAAATTTACCCCTTGTTTTAGTATTTCTTAGTATATGTTTGATCATGACAAGAAGCCACCTTTGTGACAACATTATGGCGTTTTTAGGTAGAGTGGTATCATATACGCTTTTGAATAATCTTTGTGAAGTTTTTAATAACAATTTGATTGAGGGAAAGGACAAGCCATTGATAAGCTGCTTGGAGTACAACAAGGAGTATACGATGAAAAGAATATGTAATGTCATAAAGGTGCGAAACAAGTGTGTTGGTCCACTAACTCCATCCGCAACAACGATTATGGACAAGAATGTCATTTGGGCATCTTATTACACAACTAGGTGGAATGGGTCAGACAAATACCAAGTGCAAGGGCCATGGTAGGATCAACATGTTATTGACATGGTTGAAAGAGTATGCAACTGCAGGAAGTGGGAATTAACAAGACTCCCTTGCAAGCATGTCATTGCAGTCCTAAATGACAAAGCAGATAATGATGAGAAGGTTAGAGAGTTGCACACTTATGCCCACAGGGTGCACTGGCTAGAAACATGGAAAACAGCTTATGTGTACAAGGTAGAGCCTATTAAAGGTCGAGCAATGTTGCCTATAAGTGAATGTCCAATTAAAATCACCCCTCCTCTACACCATAATCAGACTGGAGGGCCTAAGATAAAGATGAAGCAATCTGTTGAAGAGAAAAGCTAGAAAGAATGGAGAAAATGGTGCTAATGGGAGTGGGAGTCAAATTCATGTTGCTAGTATAAGTGGAAAGCTTACAAGAAAGTTTATCGAAGTAGCTTGATGCAAGTGTAAAAATAAAGGACACAATGATAGAACTTGTAGAGGCCAAGGAGGTAACTGATGGGATTTAAAGGTATTTTGATGTATGTATGGGTATAAGTGTCTTTTTGGGATAATGTTATGTTTATGTGTATTGTATGTTTAGTACTTGATGTGTTTTGGGGTTTAAGCTATTTAGATGTTCTTTTTGGTATTTGATAGTGTGTACTGTAATGTATGGGAACAATTTAGACTGGATTTGATGTAACGGCTTATGTTATGTTTAATGTCTTGATGTTATTCTCATGTATAATTTCATGTTGTATAACTAGACCAATGTGCTCTTTTAAACAAAACATACAATTTTCATTCACAATGTTTAAACCATAAACAAAATAGAATGGTCAAAATGTACATACCAAATACAATTACTATTGACAATTTGTTGAAAAACATGTCTTACATTGCTTACATTTTAACCACAAAAAACTACCACAAAGTACTACCCAAAGGATTACATTGCTTAAACAAAATACTACCCAAAACATTAAAATACTATCCAAACCGTTACACTTCAATCTACTTCTTATAAACCAGAACAAACAACATTTAGTTGCATAACAGGTAACATTTGAGTCTTGTGTTTTGTGACTTCAATTTGTTGATTTTATAAAAGCTTTTGAACGTTCACACATTGGACCATCAAACCACCTAATAAATCGACATTTGGATCCCTTCAAAATTGAAGAAACAAAAGAAGACAGTAACATGTAATGGGAGAGTTATGTTGAAATCCAAAAAAACCTTTGCATACCTCAGTAGGGCATCCCTAGAAATGTCGACCTGGATTTTTCTTAGTCCATGAGGAGCGAACTATGATCATTTTACCACAAAAACAAAGCACCATTTTTGATTTCGATTTCTTAAAGAAGATACTACCCAAAACATTAAAATACTATCCAAACCGTTACACTTCAATTTGTTGCATACCATCAAACCACCTAATAAACCAGAACAAACACAAACAACATTTAGTTGCATAACAGGTAACATTTGAGTCTTGTGTTTTGTGACTTCAATTTGTTGATTTTATAAAAGCTTTTGAACGTTCACACATTGGACCATCAAACCACCTAATAAATCGACATTTGGATCCCTTCAAAATTGAAGAAACAAAAGAAGACCGTAACATGTAATGGGAGAGTTATGTTGAAATCCAAAAAAACCTTTGCATACCTCAGTAGGGCATCCCTAGAAATGTCGATCTGGATTTTTCTTAGTCCATGAGGAGCGAACTATGATCATTTTACCACAAAAACAAAGCACCATTTTTTATTTCGATTTCTTAAAGAAGAAAAAAATAGTTGATTTAGGTCAATTGAAGAAGAAGAAGAAGAAGACGAGAACGACGACAAAGAAGGTTCACTAGGTTCGATCTTATAGGACTGATTTATTAATATTAAACAAGGGGAATAAAAATGAAATAACCAAAATACCTCCAATTTGACAAGTCAAACATATATTGACGGAATGATATAGACGGAGGTTAAACCTTTGGACCAAAGACGTAACCAAATGAAAACTTTGGACCTGTGGTGCTAGTTCAAATTTTTTTGGAGCAAATGACAATTTTGAGCAAATCATAGTACCATTTGTGATTTTTTTTTTTGAAAACAATACTTTGACAACGTTGAAATATCTTGCTACCCAAGTTTTGATTTATTAACAATTAATAATAATAATACCTGATTAAATAAATATATATATTATTTATTCAATAAGTCGAAAAAAACCTACACTTCCCCTTAGCCGCGTTTCCTGTTCCCCCATATCTACCGTGAACCGTCGATAGTCGTGGCCTAAAACAAGAACAAACAAATATCTGGTATTTTCGTCGAACACCTCACGGGCTCTCTTTTCTCCTGATAATATCATCATCGTTGTGGTAAAAATAACTCTGCATATTTTTCTCCAACCAAGGATCATATGTTAATTCGGTGAAAGGTTCAATCAATTTATCGTCGTCGCCTTTTAATATGATGTTTTCAAGACTTGGTCGGTCAATCTCTCGATCGTCTCGTTCAAGGGTAAGTCTTTTTGTCCTAGTAAACTATTCATGTTTTTCTTGTTTGCAGTATGTGGGTTTCTGATCTTATTGTTTTGAATCCTGTTGGATGGTTTGGTAGAATGTTTTGAGTGGTGGAAATGGCGGAAGATCACAGATTTTGACCGATTCTTCAGCATATCAATCTCGATATATCCGACAGGCAGATGATAACCTTGGGGTTTTGAAGCGTTATTTAGGTTCTCTAGCAGCTAACAATGAAAGATATGGTTCTGGGTTATCATCCAAGGTGTATCTATCGGATATAAAGTACGTTCTTGCAAACCCTAGATTTCAAAGATTCTTCTCCAGCGAGGCTCCGAAGAAGAAGAGTAAGATTAGCTTTTTCCGTATCATTTTCTATTTGTTAATGTTTGAAGTTAGGAGGCTGCTTGAGCTCGCTCATGTCAATACTATTATTACAGCCCCTGAATAGTAGTCGATGATTAATTGGTTCCTTACGAACTACGAAGCCTAAATTTGAACCACAAACGACTCCTAACTATTCTGTTAAAGGGAATCAAAAAAAGTAATCTTTGGATCGCTGAAAGCATCTGTTTTTCTACCTCATATTAAGCAAATTGAACATTTGAGCAATCTAACTGGGCCAGTCTTGGTATATGTATTACTTGACCCTACTGTGTTTATCGTTTTCCAGATTATGAGAACTTTTTCCCCAAGGAAAAGAAGGAAACTCCAAAAGCAAACAATCAGAAAACTGAATCTAAAGGTCAGTCACCTTGATTTCTGAGAATAGATGCTACTGTTATGGAACTTCCACTCTTAATTTGGTCTTTATGTCTTTGTATCGTCTGCTGGTAGATCAATGTAACTTTCATAGGTCTTTCTTGGCTACATATCAATCTGCAAGTAATGCTTGAAGCTTACAAACTGATTAACATATTTGCAATGTGTAGAGGAATCAAGCACAGAAGATGATGGGGGTTTCTTCCCAAAGCAATTCAATTTCCAATTCCCTATCCCTTTACTAGTAATTGGGTTGTTGCTCTTTTCATCACTCTCTTCTTTTGGTCCTCGTGAACAGAAACAGGTTAGCTCTTACTTGATCTTCCTGTTTATTTCTAGATCACTTGATGTTAATTTCAATTTTGTTTTTTATTACTACAGATAAGTTTCAAAGAGTTCAAGAATAAGCTTCTGGAGCCAGGGTTGGTGGACCATATAGTCATTTCCAACAAATCAGTAGCAAAAGTATATGTCAGAAACTCACCACGCAATCAATCAACCTATGGCTCTATTGAAGGAACATCAATCGATTCACCTGCAAAAGTGAACACAAGCCAATATAAATACTACTTCAATATCGGAAGTGTTGAATCTTTTGAGGAAAAACTAGAAGAAGCCCAAGAAGCACTTGGGATAGATTCTCATGATTATGTTCCTGTCACATACGCATCCGAAATGGTTTGGTATCAAGAAATCATGCGATTTGCACCCACACTCTTATTACTCGGATCCCTTTGGTACATGAGCAGAAGAATGCAAGGTGGTTTAGGTGTTGGAGGTGGTGGTGGGAAAGGTGCACGTGGAATATTCAACATTGGAAAAGCCGACATCAATAAAGTTGACAAGAATACAAAAAACAAGGTCCTTTTTCAGTTTCAAGTATTCTAGTATCTATTACAACACAAAAAATATGATAAAGTTTTCATCTTTTACAATCATTTACAATCTTTATCGTAAAAAATATGATAAAGTTTTCATCTTTTACAATCTTTTACAATCTTTATCGTAAAAAAATGATAAAGTTTTCATCTTTTACAATCTGTTACAATCTTTATCGTCGTTCAGGTCTTTTTCAATGATGTTGCTGGATGCGATGAAGCAAAACAAGAAATCATGGAGTTTGTGCATTTTCTCAAGAACCCAAAGAAATACGAAGAGTTAGGAGCTAAAATCCCAAAAGGTGCTCTGTTAGTGGGGCCACCTGGCACTGGGAAAACCCTTTTAGCAAAAGCAACAGCAGGAGAATCCGGTGTGCCTTTTCTGTCAATATCCGGATCCGATTTCATGGAAATGTTTGTGGGTGTGGGCCCATCTAGGGTTAGAAACTTGTTTCAAGAAGCAAGACAATGTGCCCCAAGTATAATATTCATAGATGAAATCGATGCAATTGGTAGGGCAAGAGGACGTGGGGGTTTTGGGGGGTCTAATGATGAGAGAGAAAGTACACTCAATCAGCTTCTTGTTGAAATGGATGGATTTGGCACCACTGCTGGGGTGGTTGTTCTTGCTGGAACTAATAGACCTGATATTCTAGATAAAGCTCTGTTAAGACCTGGAAGATTTGATAGACAGATTAGTATAGACAAACCTGATATCAAAGGACGCGAACAGATCTTCCAAATTTATTTGAAAAAAATCAAACTTGATAACGAACCTTCATATTTCTCTCAAAGACTCGCTGCTTTAACTCCTGGATTTGCTGGAGCTGATATAGCAAATGTCTGCAATGAAGCAGCTTTGATTGCTGCAAGAGGTGAACAAACAAAGGTCACCCTGGACCATTTTGAAGGAGCCATTGATAGAATCATTGGTGGACTTGAGAAGAAGAACAAGGTACTTAAACATTGATGAAATCGAAACCACATTTACTTTTTTTTTCTCCTCTCTCCATTCTTTCTAATTTGTTGAAATGAAACAGGTGATAAGCAAGTCTGAACGAAGAACTGTAGCTTACCATGAAGCAGGCCATGCTGTTGTGGGGTGGTTTTTGGAACATGCAGAGCCTTTATTGAAAGTGACAATTGTCCCACGTGGCACAGCAGCTCTTGGTTTTGCTCAGTATGTTCCAAGTGAGAATCTTCTCATGACAAAAGAACAGCTTTTTGACATGACTTGCATGACACTTGGTGGCAGAGCTGCTGAACAGGTAAATCTTTAAACATGGTTTAAGTTTTCAACATTTTTTTGTTGCAAGTTTTGAACTTTCTTGATTGATTACAGGTGATACTTGGAAAGATATCAACCGGAGCACAAAACGACTTGGAGAAAGTGACAAAGATGACATACGCTCAAGTTGCGGTTTATGGGTTCAGTGAGAAAGTCGGTTTGTTGTCATTCCCTCAAAGGGAAGATGGAATGGAAATGAGCAAGCCATACAGCAGCAAAACAGGGGCAATTATTGATACTGAAGTCAGGGAATGGGTGAACAAGGCATATGAACGCACAGTCTCACTTGTGGAAGAACATAAAGAGAAGCTTTCTCAGATTGCTGAGCTTTTGCTTAAAAAAGAAGTCCTTCATCAAGATGATTTGTTAAAGGTGTTGGGTGAACGCCCGTTTAAAGCAACTGAAATGACAAATTATGACATATTTAAGCTTGGATTTGAGAAGGAAGATGTGAAAACTGGAGAGGTGGAAGAGGGTAGTAGTAGTAGTACTGCAGAAGACAGTGGGGCCCCACCACCCCTTGAGCCTGAGGTGGTCCCCGCATAACTAGAACCTGGATAAGAAAGGTAAGATAACTTTTTTCTTTTTAAATTTGGAAAACAAAATTCCTTCCTAATTATGAAAGAGATTTGGATTGAAGGGGAAGGGGAGGGGTGTCACAATTCAACTTGTATTGGGTGATTTATCTTGTTAAATGTATAAGCGAGTCAAGTGGTGGTGATACAGAAAAAAAAGGAACACGGGATGTAAAGTTGATGTGGCGCATTTTCATTTTTTTTTTTCAAGAATTTCTTTGTCATAATACCAAAAATGTGTCACATTGTTGATTTATGTTCTGGGCATAAAAAGCTAATAGTTTTCTAAGACTTGTAATATATGTTTTTAATCTATTGGCCCATGATAAGTATGTTCTTGTCAAGTCAACCCATATGTTTTTAACCTTGGAGTGTAAGTTGGGTTCTACTTCAATTTGAATTGGAGATTAGTATGACTTGTAGTCTTGAACATGTGTTTATGTATGCAAATACTGTTTTGGGATTTCAATAAACTTATTAATTCTTCTTTATTTAGAACCATTTATTTGTGATCTATGTCTTCGTCTTCATGCTTAAGCTGATATTCTTGTAGATTTGTATAAGGTTGGAAGAAGTTGTGCATAATATGTCATACTGTCACGTTTAACAGCCATTTTGTCACATTAGATTTTTAATAGCCATTTTACCGCCACATCACATTTTGCCAGACATGCTCTCTCTCTCTCTCTCTCTCTCTCTCTCTCTCTCTCTCTCTCTCTCTCTCTTCAAACCAACTTTTATTATGCCATACCACGATGAGGGGACGGAGCTAAATGCCACCCATACCGTTAAGCCTAAATGCGTTGATAGTCCTAAATGCAAGACATTTCTAAACCTAGTATGTAAACGATTATTAAGAGTTTAGGTCTAAGGCCTGATTAGGGAGCAGCAACAATATTAAGGTTTTTTGGGTAATTTTTGTGGCAACTCATCCTATTTAACATCATAATCAAGACTTTCAAGTTAGCAAAAAGATCGAAGAATTAGCACTATGATACCACTATATAAGAACAAAATGGGTGTCCAAAATTGTAACAATTATTGAGGTATAAGTCTCTTTAAAAAAAAACAACTATTGAGGTATAAAGTTACTCATGAATACCCCCGCCAAGCCCCCCACTCGGAGGGGTATTCGGAACTAGGGATGCGATTTAAAACCGAAAAATCGGAACCGTTAGAACCGGAATATATAGAACCGGTTCTGGTTCCGGGTTTAAAAATTGGTTTTATCCGGGTTCCGGGTAATCCGGGTTTGGGTCAATCGGGTCCAGGTAAACCGGGTCTAAGAACCGGAGCCGATGTTACGAACCGGAACCACTTTTAAGGGTTGGAACCGGTTTCTATGAAACGTTTAAAACATGCATATCTTATTTGTTTTAACTTGGATTGACATACGGTTTTTTCCAATGTGTAGTTTAGAGTTTGTACATGATTTTAAACTATAAATTTGTCATATTTAGTTTTATATTCATTGATTTACAGTCCTCCAAAGTCGAGATATTAAAGTGGAAAGTTTTTCAGGTTTTCAGTTTTTTTGTATTCTGTGAAAGTTTTAAAACATGCATATCTATTTCGTTTGAAGTTGGATTGACATACGGTTTTTTCCAACTTGTAGTTTAGAGTTTTTACATGATTTTAGACTATGTTTTTTTATTTTTATTATTTTTTTTATTTTTTTATTTTTTTATTTTTTGTTTAATATTCAATGACTTACCGTCCTCAAAAGTCGGGATACCAAAGATGAAAATTTTAAAATTTTAAGCTATTTGTTTTTGTACTTTGTATTTTTGGAAAACGTTAACACATGCATATCTCAATATGAAAATTTTCAAAATTCAACCCACTAAGTAGTAAGTAAGTACAAAAAAATTCGGTTTTTTTTTTGTTCTAAACCCACTTTATCCGGTTCCAGCCTAGCCACTTTGATGTTTCCGGGTTTGTTGCTTCTAGATCCACTTTACCCGGTACCGTACCCGGAACCGAACTGAAATCGGTTCCTATATACCGGTCCGGTTTTCGATTCTATAAAATTCTGTTAACCGGTTCCAGGTTTTCCGGGTCCGGGTCTATCCGGTCCGGTTTTGGACCCACTTTCATTCCTATTCAGAACTAAGCAACTGTCACCCAAGATCGCGCTCAAAGGACGTGTGGCGCATTCATTCCTTGTTGTGCTCACTCACGACACCCCCTATATATACATATTGCAAAAAAAAAACTTGGTGACATGAACAAACATTTGGGGTGGGGGTAGGGTTGGGGGGGGGGGGGGTTGTGATTGCTTATTTAAAGAGTTTGGATACAAAGATTTGATAAGGAGTTTGAGTGACCATTTATTAACTTACATAAAGAGTTTTTGATAAGTCGTTGCTCCTTATTTATTGATTTATTTAAAGTGTTTTTGATAAGTTATTTCATTATTACACATAAAATTTGATTTTGCTAAATGCCCAAATACTAAAAATAACCTATGAATTTATTACATTTTCATACCGGATAACATTTTTGTTAGCTTATTAGCTTAACCCCTCCCCCCCACCACACACACACACACACAGCTCCTAAGGAAAAAAGGACATGAGCCTATATTTTTTCTTTTTTTATCATCATTTAATTGATGCCCATCGTATTTACATTATCTTAACAACATTGACTATGATCGAGCAACTTGACTTGAAGCTGAAGTTGACTGGGCAACTTGGCATGAAATGGATTGTACAACTTAGTCTGTAGCTAGCTGACTCATGTGGTTATCGTGAAGTCGATAATGTGGCAAAAGCTGTCTGAATCAAGAAGCGGAGTAAAAAAAAGTAAACTTGGTGTTGTGAGGTGAGTCAATGCTAATAGTTTATTTTTTATTGTTAAATAGAAAACTTTAGGATCCTCTATGCGTTAAGATGTAAACCATGTCCCCCTTTTCCATAATTTCCCTTGGTTTTCCTTAAAATACTATGCTTGGGCTCTAGATGATTGGGCTCACGGTGTTGCACCATGTTTGGGCTCTAGAGGATTATGGCCTTGTAGGGCCATCATAATATTATTTTGGGATAGGATATTTTATTGGACCTTTGATTGAAGGCCATGAAGGGTTCGGGCCCGATTAGGAAAATTGGGCCATAATGGGGCCTTGGATGATTATTTTGGAATTTGGGGCTTTTTAGACTTGGCCTTGGGCCAAGTTAGGGAAAGGGTAAAAATATCTTTTACCCTAGTTTGGACTCTTAGCTTGAGTCGAGATCCAATTATTAATTGGATGTTATTTTTTGATAGCGCGTATATTTTAGCGGGCCAACAGCCAAATATTTATTTGTGAGATTCAGCATCCAAAGGCGAGTTTCCTCATTGTGTTTAGCGGGTCGAAGGCACCAATGTTGGCCCACGGTTGATATGTTAGTATGCTAGTTGTCTATATGACTCTTGCATGTGTTATGTGTATATGTTTACCGTGCGGGGCCTCATGAATATACCGGGCTGGGCTTGATGCCAGACGAGGCCTGATGATTGATAGATATGTATACCGAGCATGGCCCAATGGCGGGCGAGGCCCATTATGTGCCTATTTATGTATGTATGATATGTGGTATTTTGGGAAACTTACTAAGCTTTATGCTTACAGTTTCAGATTATGTTTCAGGTACTTCAGGATCGAAGGGGAAGAGCCCAAGATGATTGCAGAGAACACACCACCTTTTTTGCATTTTGGTATTTACTCTGATGTTGATGATGCATTGATACAATTTGATTACCTTGGTTTTTATGACAATGATGTGCTTGTTGTTTTATTAATTTGAAAATGATTTTTTTTTGGGTCGTTATAGTCCCATGATATGTATTCAGGAACACAACTTAAATAGCCTACTGTCAGTAAGCTTTTGCAGCCTCCCAAAACAAAATCTATCTTCTCTCTTGCTTGCCGATCTTTGCTCTTATATTCATCAACAAATGGCGACATTAGAGTCCATGATATGCATTTGGGAACACAAATTGAATATCCATTTCAATTGAATTGGCTCTATTTGATATGATATCCAAAGACAACATGTCTCTAATACATTCTTTAAGTATTGATAAAAACCAAATCCATGAGTCCCCACTTTAAGTTTTCCTAACTCCAAATTTAATAAGGAGCATTTGGTTATTACCATCCATGTCTGCTGCTAGGAACAGGGTGCCCAAGTATTTCACTTTAAAGTGCACTCCGTTAATGATAATAGGACATAAACTTGTTTGAAACACTCAAACCTAAAAAGCATTTACTATAACATCATTAAACTGAGCACACATGTAACAACATTAAGTATAAAAAAGTCATTATATAAGAAATGTTACCGAACAACCGATAGCAATGAAAAAATATTCAAATTTATTTCCCTAACACGTCTTTATATGTGTAACTGTCCCTGGATTCTTCTTCTCCAAGTTGTAACAATATAAATGTAGTATTTGAAAGCTTTCTTCAGGGGTCCCTCTCACTAGATTTAGAGCATACATTTTAGTACTCCGTGCTTGCCAGTATGAAATATGTACACTACGATGGTTATTTAAAGTTGTTTGTATCTGTTTCCATGTATTACCTGTACTATCAGCCAATATGCCTTTCAACAAGTAACCCAATACCTTTTTGTTGGCTTGTCCGTGATGGGGACGTAGTTGTGTGTTTGAGCAAGTACGCTTGTCTGATAGTTTAACCACTTGAAATGTATTTGTAGTATTATGTTTTGTTGCTCGTATCCTCTAGTCACAATTATTCATAACGCAAACAACTTCAAACCTGTCTTTTGTGGATTTTTTTTTCACTTTATATTAGAAGCCTTCAGTAACACTTTTTAATCCTAATTAAGATTAAGTTGTTATTTTCTTTTAAAGGGTTGGAATAAATTCACATAAGAAGTATAATTATGGGCTGTGACACCTTTATGTTTTTGTTGAACTAGTTCGGGAAATGGTAAAGGTTCAGGCATACCCCAATGGGTGGTTTTTGTTTCTTCAATTCTGAAAAATAAAAAGGAAACTTTTTATGTTATGATTCTCAGGGTTGTAAGGGCTCAGTTCCCTCCTCCCCACCTTCAATATCTTCCTTGTCAAATTCAGTGTAACTTTAAAAATGTTCAACTGGCTCTCCATATGGATTATATTACCATCATCAACCAACATCATTATTTTTACATCCTCATTTGCAAATTCATCAACATCAACTGTAGTAGAAGCATTAAAAATAATCTTACCTTAATTCCTATAATCAACCCAATCTACAGGGCCATTATAAGTCATAGGTAATTAATTACACATATGGTTACTTCCAGCACGAGAAGACCCATTTTCCTCCAAAACAATTTTCCTCAACAAATCGATGAATACCACGTTTCATAACGTTACTAAGAACATACAACTATATTGTTTTGGGAGACATACTACTAATAAAACTAATAAAATATCTAACATCACTATCGTCTAGAATCTGCATAGCTATATTTTATCCAGGACATTGAAAAGATAAACGTATTTAGTTAGTGTGT